AAAAAAAAAAAAAAAAAAAAAAAAAAGAGATTAGTAGCGTTATTGGATGTTTCAAGCAATCTCCTGAATGCATCCCTGCAGAGGGATAAGGCTGAAGGAAATGAGAACATGTAAACACATTGCAAAAACACCTCTGGAAGCAGAAGGAAAGGGCTACTAAACTCATAATACGAAAGCTATTCACAACAATAGAAACAGCTTGGTTCTGTTCTTAGGAGAAGCCAAATCAGAAGATTTCTAGTACATGCTAGACTGCGGAACAATGTTAGACTCTTAGATATTTATAATCTCAGGGAGTGCCCCCATGCTTATAAACAAACAAACAAAGCCAAAAAGCCCCGGACCTTGCGCAGGTTTATGCAGGAAAGGCAGAATATGTATTTTAAGACAAAGGTTTTCAAGCGTTCTAGGCCTTGAGACTCATGTCATTTGAACAACCAGTCTCAAGCTAGATAGAACCAACCCAAATTAATCAACTAAGTTTTGCTAATTCTCTAGTTTGTAATCTGAATCTCGAAGAGCCAGGAGAGAGCTTTGAACCACTCGCATACCACACACACATCCAAACTACTTGGGTCAGTTGGGACAACAGATGAGCAGTAGCACTGGTGTTTACTGTGTGACCTTTTACAGCTGCCATAAAATGGTTCATCCTCCTCCCTTAGGGCTAACACAGACACTTGGTTTGGCCAGTGGAGCTGGCAGGCTGCTCGCAGGACTAGCCAAAGACTCAGCAATGCTTCTGGAATGCAGTTTGGCTTCACTCATCGTTTGGGGAAGGCAGCAGTCTGCCACAAAAGAAGAGAAGAGGGGTTAAAAAAATACCATACCTTTGTCTGTAGAGGCCAGTTCTTCTGGTGCACTCCGGTAGGAGAGATGCATTTGTACTAGCCCAACAGAAGCCAGGTGGCTCTGTTACGCTGGTAAAAAAGAAAGTGAGCAAGGGCAATGAAATAACAGATGGGTTAAGCCACACTGACCAAAAAGAACAGACCGAAAATAAACACCAGTGGGTCAGCATCTTCATCCTGCACCAAACCTTCCCACAGGGGAGCAAAAAAATGCCTGTCAAAGAGCTCGCTAAGGAGCTTCCCACTTTTTCAGCCCAGGAGAGGCACTGGCGAGGCCATCGGCCTTGGGAGCATCTCTGATGCAGCAGTTATCACAGAAATTTGCTTCCAAAAGGCTTCTCTTGTTTTTCATAGGAGCGCCTGTGTTCTCGTGTTTACAGTGGTAATGGTTTGCAAAGCATCTGGTACCTATAGGAGGAGGTAGATATTAGGCAGAAGTTGAAGGAGCAACACACATTGATCTTGGCTTTATGTAAATTAGGACAAACCATGCAAAAAGATGTTCCTCTGCATATGCTAATGACTGCTAAAAAAAGGATCACCATCATCATCAGACAGTGGAAGAATCAGAGCTAAACTCTAGCTTTAATATCAGTTTGTTCCCAAACTCATGGGAAACAGCCCCCGAAACAGCAACAACCATCTCACCAATGTTAAACGTATTAATAATGCTGAAAGAGGAAATTTTGTGTTGGATGAAAAGCAAGCAGGTATTGCATTTGTTTGGAAGCAGATCCTGCCTGCTCACTCTTGGCAATAACGTGATAATCTTTTAACATCCTGAAGACGATTCACACATATGATACTTTTAAAACTATTGACAAGAAAGACTTCAACAGATATGAAACCCGCTGTGCAAATAAATGTTGCTGTCCTCTGCAGGGAAACACGCATTCACTAGGTTCCTCTAATTGCACGCTCGTATGGCCCTCACCTACTCTGCTGTTAAGGGTCTTTGCAATTTTTGAAGTAGGCTATAATACAAAGAAGAATATAATATGAAGTGAGAAAACCGAAGTCAAACCATTAGGAGAAAAGTCTTCTTACCAATTACAGACTGCCATTTGATAATCTTTATTCTAAGGGTGAGGCACCAAAAATGAAGCAAAAACAAATCAGTGGCTAAATGTGAAAGCGTTTTCATGTCTGCAAACTCTGAGAGTTTGAGATTAGGACTTCTTTTTCTTCCCTGACTTAGGACAAAGTCCGAGACCAAATTTTTCAAAACTCGGAGAGCGAGTTTCGTCTTTTAGTCTTCCAGATGGCATTTACTTGACAAAGGTGTTAAACAATTTAGTCTTCATTTTCTTCCAAAGAAAAATCTCTGGGATTCAAACTGATTGCTTTAGAAGAGTCACTTTATCACTGGAAGCAAAGACAATTTTGCAACAACCTTATCCCCCCGAGTGGTTCTCAAGCACGAGAGTCATCAGGTTCCACACCAGTTTTCCCTACCTGACATTTCTGACAACAAAGATGTTTTAAAATGTCCTGTCAGCTCTGGAGATAAATTGCTATAGCCTTAAAAATGCTGTGCACTGAGAACAGTACAGCAACAGCAACAGTGCCTCTGGAAGTAACAAGAACAAGGTGGGGGAAGGAGACACCGCTTGAGCGAGGAGAGCAAGTACCAGAGATTTCTGTAGAGCCAAGGATGGGGCAACTAGAAGCTGATAAACTTTTCTACGCGAGGTCAGCTCAACCAGACAAGCTTCTTAGCAACGTGACATGGATTTACTCAAGATACGTTTTCGGTCTTACTGCATTTGAGATTCGAGTTTTCTGCGTGATTCCTCTTACACCACTACCAAAACAAAGTAAGCAAGCTTTAAAATATTTCTGCTATGGATACAGCTCCTCAGTTAATGTTGTATCATCTGGGAATGCCAAAATAGTGCAAAAAGCTAAATGCTTCACAACTTTCAAAGCCCGGGCAATTCAAATCCAGCACCACCCTGTCCCTCTCCAGGCCACGCTTCCAGCAATGTTACACAAAGCTCCAGAACATTATCACTTCTCTTGGGAACGTTTTCAAAATGAGAGGAAAATCCCTCAGCAGAAGATATAGAGGCTTTAAGCTGACATGGTGAACTCTGAGGTGGTTTGCAAGTAACCTGATTTAGGCAAAAGGCTACATATGTCAGTACCTCCTTACATTAGCATCGTCATACGCACAAAGAACTAGAGAGACAGGCGTAGCTGTATGATCTTGTCATTCAACTCACAAAACTACTTAAATAAATGGTCTATAATATTAAACTAAAAATCGGTATTGTGAGAACAGCATCTGATCTTCCTGTAATTCTTTCCAGGCAGGGTATTTTTGAGTCTGTGCAATATACACAATGGCTACATCAGGCGGCTATAGTGACCAACATCTACAAGCAAGCAACAAAAGTGTATTTGAGCTGTCCCAAATGCTGCTTTCTGAATTTACATTTTAGAGGATGGTTCCTTTCCTCATTGCCTGTGACTCATATATTCAAAGTTGTCTAAACAATGCAAGTAGCTTACTTAGCTTTCCCACACTATATAACTTATTTTGAGTTGCTTCCAGCTACTTTGTTGCTGGAACGGAGCCTTTGAAAAAAAATGGAGCCTTCCTTTTCAGACTGAAACTTTCCAGGTTCAGCCTCGGTAAGGGTGACCTTCAAACTCTGAGCGGAGACTCTCCAAAAGAGACCATTGCGGGGGGAGTTACTGTAAACATAAATGTGGACTCAGGTCTGGTTTTTCTTGTTCCAAGTAAATGATCTTTGTCCAGAAAGCAAGTTTAGTAAAACCAGATCTGCACAGCTGACTATGTAGAAAGCTATCTCTGAGGAGGACTTAAAAAACACTGTAAAAAAGTAAGTGAACAAAAAGATGTGAACACATGGTGGCTGCAAAGACATGTGTGTATAAAAACATTTATATTATTTCTGCATATGCTAATGGAAAGATTACTTCTAAAGTGTACCCAGTTCTCACATCCAACATTTTTACAGTGTTAAAAATTTGGAGAGAGTTCAAAGTGATCACAAAGTACCCAGGGCCAAAAATAGGTCTAACAAAAAGACTTCAGTGTAGTTAGCTTATCCAAGAGAAGGCTGGGAACTTAATCTTGAGCTGAAAGTGTTTACATAACAGGAGTCTTAAAAGAGAACATTAGTTGCCTTTCTAAGAAAAAAAAAATCTTTAATCACAACACACTGTGCTTAGTAATGCTCATTTTATCCCACGGAAAGATAACTTCCTTCACTGAGAGAGACCCTTGGTGAAATTCTGTTATATTAAATAGACTATATAGGTCATTAGCCTACTGATTTTAACATGAGTTTTCATGGATCGTCAGGATACGTATCATCATGGATAGCATCATGGATACACGAGATAGATAGCCAGAGAAGTTATCCCAACAAGTTTTCCAACAGAAGGTGTAATTAAATCTTCCAAATTGACGATGAAACACTCTGATTTAGTCTTGAAGATCCCAAGCCAGTTGTTTTCTTTCATCTTCAGTTTTTCCCAAAGCTATTTGTCCGTTGCATCGCTGGCAACCTCTGCCTATAGACTATCTTCTGCTGCTCTGCTGTCGTGTTAACCAGGCAGTACCTCACTGTTTTAAGACTGGTACCAAGGTGGGTTCTGCCTCTTGACAGCTTTGGGACTGCACATATTTAACAAGGGCGCTTGTTCCGTGCCATGCCTGTTAATCTTTCTTCAAACTAGCCATTTACTGGAGAATTCCAACTCCACAAGCTCCAGGAAATGCGAAAAATGCAGGAAGTTATGGTATACAGCTACAGAAACCACAACATGCTTGGAAGAGTCTCGATGGCACTATACAGCACCATGGTTTGAAAGGGCATTACGGTTCAGGCTGGGACAGCAACAAAACAGACAACTGGCTATCTGCCCTTGTTGGGAAGAGTGGAAATCTTTCTGCTCAGGCAGCGCAAGGGTAGTAAGCACGGCACTGTCTTCGACGCAGCCCATCTGTCAGCTCATCTCTTCTTTCCTTTTCCAAGTTGCTATATTCTACAACACATACCGAGTTTTCATTACTTAAAATACTCAGCTGAAGAACATCAGCTGTTATCAGTACATTTCATCAAGTTTTTTCTTTCTATTACAACCCTATTAAAATTTTTGTTTTGTAATGTCTCGGGATAAACCTGTACGTGTCTCACCTACCAAAGAACATCAAATTTGTCTGTTGTTGTTGATCACACAAATCAGTTTATAGAGAACTAGCATTGATGAGTCCCTAAATGCCCCAAATATATAGCAAAAAAAAAAAAAAAAATTAATGGCATGTTAATGACCTAACAATGAGTATGAAATGTTTTTTCCAGTGCCCTTCCAGCCATGCAGGACAGCAGGAGGCATCCTTACTGAGAGCAACTGCAAGCTACCTCTTGCTTTGTGCCACCAGGTCTAGTCCTCACCCCTTCACATTTTAGCTCCCCTGAAGCAGGAATTCAAGAGAAGCCTGCAAAATTATCTCACATAATTCGTAGCGGGATGAACAATTGCTTCATTGAGCTAACTCCTGTTTATACTCTGGAACCCGAATAAATTGGCAATCCTGACCGCAGGATGCGAGGAGAATAACACATTGGGAGAACATCTGCTGTCCCAACTGTGACCTGGAAGGAAGCTTGACTGTGAGTACTTGGGTTCAGTATGAGAAAAATGCTAACTGCCCGTTGTACACTTCAGGGGACTAATGAAGTTGTGTGTCATCTGTGCAGCATTGTTCATTCTTTTTTCTCTGTTTGGAAAGCCAGATGTTGCTAAACTGAGACCTGGCCATGCGGCTTCCAACGAGGGAATAGTTGTTATTGCCTCTTGTCCTGAGAGATGGAATTTGTTAAAACTGTGAGCACCCGTACTTGCCCACAGTTGAGCTGGAGATGAGGTGAATACGAGTAAAAGCTTTCAAGCTTGATTTCTTCTACAGGTTAACAAACCAGGAAAGTCTCCTGCAGCTTGGCTCCTTTGTGACTTAAAGCCTCAGATCCAGGCAGGGCAAGGAATGGCTGGAAGACATAAACACAAGGTGGGGCAAAAAAAAAGAAAACAACTTTAAATATTTACCCAAATTAGGGCGAGCTGAAAAGAGCTCCTAGTGATTATCTGGAAGCTTACCACGCTTTCAGGTACTGTGTGGGGAATTACGTTTATATTTGCGTAAATGAATTGGAAGGGAGTACCCCGGGGGGATACGCATCTGGCAAAACCCATTAAATCCAATTCACCCATTATGCAACCCACTTCATTGTAAGAAGAAACACAGGTGGTTCGGCAAAATGAAAGAGAAGCTGAATATGTCTGTGGGTTTGTAGAGGCCTCAAACAAGGGTATAAAATTCATGAAAATGGTATCCGGTGGTGTCTGATAAACCAGTAACATTCAATAAGGCAGCCTTCCCTACTAACGTACATATTCAGGGACACTTCTTAGTTTTAAATATAGGAAAATGCGGGATTCAACAAACCTGTATAAAATTTCAGATACTATTTTAGAGCTTTGGGACCTGCACTGAAGTGTTGATGAAAATGGTATGCTAGGTATGTATTGCTATAGAAAGATGTTTATGTTCTGGAGACTTTTTGTTTTCTTAACCTTTGAAGTTCAACAGTTCGGGTGGCAAAAACTCGGTTGCCACAAGCCAGTGGCTGATGGGGAGGTGTGAAATGTGTTTTGAGAACGACTCAAGCCAAAAAGTGGACCAACAAAAACTACATTCTAGGTTAAAAAAACACTGGGCAGTCACAATGAGGTGCTATTTTAAAGAGCATTCTGCGATTTAAAATCATATAAGAAATAACTTCTAAGAAGCATGTTCTGCTATCTAAATCTCTAATGTCAGTTCAACGCTAATTAAAATACAACAGCCTTTCACTGACAGGCATCTGAATCTTTGCGAGAAAACAGGAGCGGAGGGATTGACGTTACCATCCTATAAAGATGTAGGCTATGCTCTGTACTCTCTCCCGGTGCTTATTGTAAGTTAACCCTATTGCGAACAATTACAACTCATTGTTTAATAAATCAACACACTAAATCTTGATTTTAACTTCTTCATATGATTTTAAAACAACGTGCTTATAGCTGGAGGTAAATTAATGTATCAAAAATGAATTGTCAGATAAATGTTGCAGTTGATCTACTCGGATAAATGCTTTTAATGTAATTAAATCCTCTGATGTAATAATTTTCCTGAGCTCCAAAACAGAAGAACTGAATAACAGTTGAAGAGACCACAGATTTCCTATTCTTTAAAGATCTGACAAGTAGAAGAACAGGATACAGGTCTTAGAATTTCCCATCCCTTCGCAATCACTGCATTTTTCTGAACACTTGACTTTGTCTTTCTGATATTTCCGTGAACTGAGTATCAAGGATGAAAATGGGGGTAGGGTGTTGAGTTCCCAGCATGCACAATGCAGCTTACAGCTATGAAAACTACGTTTTTTTTCTTGCCTACTGAGTTCTTATTTTAATAAGTTTTCAAATCTCCCCCTCAGGTAGCTTGCTACTGATACTTCAAAAAGCAAAAAAAAAAAAAAAGGAGACATTTACCAGGAAACAGTCTATTTATAAGGCATTTTAGAGGTTTTTCCATTGTTTATGGTATCCACTGATGGGTTTAAAAATGTCATTTCCTTCCCTAACAATCTTAACTTTTCTCTTTGCTTTGCTAATCCATAGGTAGCAGTGTGAGCGTTTACATAGCATTTTGCATGCTTCAAACGAGGAGGGTAAATTCTCTTATTATTCAAAAAATTATGGACACAGAAGGAAACGGGAATTCAGTTGCTCCCAACGAATGAGGTTCCAACACTCTGCCTTATGGATCGGGATTAATTCCTAGTCCCTGCAAAATTAGGGTATCTTCCAGTCCTGTGATACCTACGGATGACAGAACAACCAGGGAATGGCCTTGCGCATTTATATTCTTCCCAGTTCCTCTTACGATTGCAAGATCGTAAGACTTAACACTCCCAGGAAACTGTGACTTGCCCTCTGCTCTAGCTAAGGACTTGGTAGGGTAGACACAGCCCTGGCCACAACCTCTGGCCGCTGCAGACTGTATTCTCTTTCCCACAGGACCCAGACTTCTGGG